ATGCCCCCTTCTTTTACCTTTCCTCTTCTCCTATTTATATATAAAATTAAGAAAAATATTGCACTAATGACTGTACAGGTTTCAGATTCATTAGTCTCTCTGGGGTGCAGGATGTTTTATACTGTATCTTCATTCCCTGCGGTCTGTGGACAAACTGATATTCAATACGATTGTATGTTACTTACACACCTGGAAACTGTCTTATTACTCTGCTTGTCCTTTGGTGGTTTTGATAAATAAAGAATTTTTTGGGGGAAAAAAAAAAAACCACAAAAAACGCCAAATAGCAAAAGCCAACATGCAACAACAAAAAAACAGTTAGCCATCTTTCAGTGGCAATGCAACATGCTGCAAAAAAGCCAAACCCAGCCATTTGACAGGTAGATATTACATCAAATGCACTTATTTAAAAAAAAAATACGGCAAGTAACCCCTTCCCTCATTCTGATTTTAAAAGGTCCTCATTTCCCATAAGCACAGCAGAAGGAATGTGCTACACTATGGCAATTGCCCCAACTGGGTGCATTTTGGCCCCTGCATCAGCTTTCTCAAGAGTGCTGGTGAAATGACTTGCATAGTCAACCCAGCACTCAGATCTGCTCTATGTGACCCCAGCACTCAGATCTGCTCTATGTGACATCTCAAAATAGATGGGAAAAAGCAGAGCACAGTACAGAGACATTCTAGCTTCTACACTATTTTGATTCTAAAGCTATAAAAAGGTCATGAAAATATAAGACTGGTATGTACCAACAGAAAGACCTCTACAACGCTGCAGCCAGTTCACAGGCACTTGTGGCAATTGCAAAGCTTTAAACATCAAATGCTCGGAAAAGACAGAACAATTAACTCCACAAGAAAACTAATCACCATTCCTGTGTCAAGAAGCTGAAATGAGATCCACTGCCATGGATAAAAATAGCCAGGCCTCGGTACATTTCATTTCAAGTTTCCTTCCTCGTACAAGACAACGTTTCTGGAGATGCCATACCAATTTAGCATATTCCGTCAATTAGTGCCAAGCATTATAATGAGGGAATTATTTTCTTTGCTACAATGCACAATTGTTTAACCAGAACACAGAAAACATAATAGAATAATAAAAGGGAAGAGAATGACACTGGTACAAATTAAACATTTGTTTGAGTGCTGGTCATTAAAGTGACTTCACCACTAAACTCAATGTTTCAATTAAAGCAGTACTTGTATAGAAGGATGTAAAAATTTACATCTTAGCTGCCTGCGCCACCGTAAGCCGCCACTTTGATGAAGAGGTATCTGCAGATGCTTACAATTACAAGAGTGTTGATCTCCCGTGTCCCATTGCTTTTCCCCTTGACCCGATCGTCACTACAGAACACGGTAATAACCAAGCGGTCAGTGGGAGGAACCACCGAGTCAGACAATATTCTTGATCAGAGCGGTGTTGGAGTAGGAGATGTTGCTATTAGACCTCTTTAAAAGTACAGCTTTGCTTTTAACAAAATAGGTTTAACAGGAGAGTTGCTTTCGAAAGCAACCACACCGAAGATCAGTTTCTCCGTTTTGGTTCCAAAAGGGACTTGGCCAATATCAGAAACCCCAGCAGGGAGGTATCCCCGCACAGATGTTTCTTTTCCAGCTGAGCTGCCACTGCCAAGCCTAAAAGGAGACAGTGAGGCAAGCCGAGGTTAAAAGGACTACAGCCTGTATCTTGGTCCATCTACTAGATTCTCTATAGTAATGTACTGAGAACTCATTTAAGCCTAGGACTATGTAGATTGTAGGGTCTGTGTGGGAACTGCAACCTGCCTAGTATTACTCCATACAGAGAAAAAGAAAAAGTAATCTTGGGTGGGAGTATTCCTTCAATTAAGCTGAACATACACACCAGTAGAATTTCATTAAAAAAAAAGTTTTCGGGAAGTTGGTTTAATAGAATGGGGTCAAATCAACTATCGTTTTTGGCCAAAGCGGCGGGGGGAAAAAAAAAAAAAAAAGTAAGGATGGAATATTTTTCTTGAACAAATAAAAATCTAACAGTAAATGTGTTTTTTTTTGTTGAAGAAACTACATTCATTTGAAAGTTAAAACCAAACTAAATTTCTAGTGACAATGATCAAATCCCTGATGGCATTATTGAATGTTCTGAGATTTCACAATTACTAAAACCCAAAACAAAAATGTACGATGTTGCGGCTTACCAGTTCTTAGATGTGGTGGCTGCATTAGATTTCAATATCAGACATGCAGGGGGACATTTAGCAAGCAAATTAGCGACACAATTGGTCACAAATCAGGCTGCCTCTCCTTCAGAAAAGTCTCTATGAAAGGTTTACAGTCTTCTGTGTCTGTAATCCGGGGCAGCCAAATGCTACAATTTGCAAAGTTCTAAACAAACAGGGTCAGGTTTTGCCCTGTCACAGTGCAACTTAGTGCAGCTGAAGAAGAAATGTATAACTCCCACTGTTACCTTGCAATAAATCGGTCTCCCTGCCCCCTGTTATGTCACATGGCAAAGCAGTGCTAAATTGATAAAATATCCTCTACAGTGTCCTTATCACTTCCTGTGAAGTTAAATGAAAGCACAAAAGAACCTTATTTTTCTTTTGTAAACTACAAATATAATCAACCCACCATGTAATTGAGACGAACAAAAGCAGGCGTATTTGTAGTCCAGCCTGTGGGACAAGGAGGGTGTTATTTGCAGGTTTACCAGTTGAAAACAAAAGAGGGAAATAAAAAGCAATGCACCTCTTCTAAAAACTAGTAAGCTGCCAATACATATTTTTGGTTTTGGATTAAGACCCATTCACACTGAGCGATTTGTAGCGCGATTTCAGCTAACAATAAATAAAATTAAAAAAATAGCTCAAACATCAGCTCAATGTAGCTTGTCCAATGCATTTCAATTGAGCTGTTCACATCTCAATGTCGCCTGTAGCTCAGGCTTGTCGCTTGAACATGACCTATTTTTCGGCAGATTTCGTGTGCTTTGACCCAATAGACTTCAATGGTGTAGCTCAATGTCACACGAATACGAGCGACATTGTCGCGCTACAGAAGTGTCCCTTTTGCACAGAAATATAAGCAGGAAACAGGAAGAGGAATTATGTCACATCAAGACCGCTTTTGATTGGATACAGCCCAATGTAGCAGCTACAAAGTCCATGCCAAAAGTAGCGCTACGTAGTGCGACGATATGTGCGCTGTAGCTCAATGTCTCTCAAAGTCGCTCAGTTCAAATCAGCTCTGAAAAAGCGCTTTTTCTGATGTTGCTCAGTGTGAATGGGGTCTTATGCTTTACAAGTGTACAGTAATCCTTTAATTACTTGACATCCCCCCATCCTTCCAAAAAGAAATATGGGCCTTCTTCTTAGTAAGCATGCGTGCCATGGCCCCATTATTTTCTCTGGAATACTCAAGGCGGCCACTGAAGGCTCATTATTAGTTGCCTTCCTATAGGAAAGAACAGGGCTGTGGCTTTTGGACAAAATGATGTGCTGCTCTGAACGAGGTCGCACTGGGAATATAGCTGGATCTGGTTGGACTGCACTCAGAAAAGGTGGGGGGGTGGGGGAAAATAACTCAAGGACAATGGTACCAAAAAGATACAGGTGTCCTTTAAGGACCACTATCAGCAGTCATAGGCACTCGTTCCACAGACCTTTCCGAATGTCATATTTGCATAGTCCTTGAACACCAACAACAATGCTCTGGCCTTGCAAAAGGCACAGTATATTGTTTTGTTAGAGGTCAAGAGCAGGTTTGCCTATTCGTTCCATATCCAGTAATTCAAGCTTTTCAGTCAACTCTTGCAGAGATCTTGGGAGCCAGGCTGTTACCGTATAAGCATGATATGGCACTCCATTCACCTGTTAGCAAACTGCAGAATAAAAAATCAAGTCATGTGGCTTTACTCTCCTAAAGCCTCAAAAAAACACATAGTGCAGTTTTAATTTGCATATTAATTTGCATAAACGGTCACATTATCTGTACAGAAGTGTAATTCAATATGTAAAAAATCAGTTAAAAAGATTTAGCTATACAGCCTCCAGGACATAGTTAATGTGCTTAGGTCTGGAACAAAATTACACCCAGACACAGACTGCCAGCAGCAAAGACACAGAAGGTTACAAGGAAAGTTCAAGACTCAGTCAATTTTGTAAAAGAAATCCGGCCAACATGTAGTTACAGAGTAACATTTAAATGAAATAAATCATTCTTACAGAATTTGAATCCAGAGCAGGACACATGTGTGAGCTAAAATTCTGTGGGTAGTCAGTCAGATAACTCAGAATTGTCCCTCATATATGCCGCTAGTAAGAAGAGTGGGACGCAGTGGAAACATAGGGCTAAGCTACTACACATATGTGTTAACAGTTACCTGACATTTCAGGGTACACAAACATTGGAGCTTTTATCACCTGACAGTAAAATTGACAGTTCATTTCACTTATCGGTTGTATGTGCGCATGTAAGAGTCATCTACAGCAATTGGGATAAGAATACACACGCACTCCCATTTAGAAAGCTGCAAAACCTGGAAGCCAATGCGGAAATAAAATACATTTCTTAATGTAACTTAACAACTTTAGGACCACAGGACATGCACATACATCCCGATCTTGAAATGCTGCTGCAGCCATCTTGGAATTGTTTTTAGAGCAGGGAGAGGGTTTTTAAATACAAGTTGGTACTAAACTGCTCAGGTCCAGGAGGTAAAGTCATTTCTTTTGATGAAGAAAAGATTTTTTTTTAAAAAGGTTGTTAACCACTAGGCCAATCAGGTTTTAATCTCTCTGAAAATGAAAACAAATAAATCACCAAATAACTAACCCACTACATTAAATAGAACATTCAGTCATGAAAAAAGTAAGTACACCCCATGGAAACTTGAATTTTAAGAATTTATTCAATAAAAAAAAAAAAAAAAGATATACTGTACTGTGAAAACAATGTAAATACAGCATGCATGGCCTTAGAAGCTGGTATTGCATAAATCACTTTTTGCCGGCAATTGCATTTAACTACTGGGCAGTCTCTGACATCAACTCAATGTTTGAGCACTTCTCATGTCAAAAATCCTCAAATCAGGGCTTTGGACTAGGCCAGTCCATTACCCTTTATTTCTTCTTTTTGATCCACTCCCTGGTACAATTGCTGGTGTGCTTCAGATCATTATGTTGAGAGATCCATTTCCAGTTTAATGTGATGTTTTAGACAGATGACCTCAACATTCTCATGCACTCTTGATATGATGCAGAATTCATAGCCAAATTGATTGCCAGCTGCTCAGACCCTAAAGCACCAAATAAACCAAAAACTATAACAACATTTCCACCACAATTCTTCATAGTTATGAGGTTCTTCTCCTAAAATGCGGTCTTCTGTTTGCACCAATAATGTCTCCTGTTATAATGGTCAAACAACTCCATCTTTTGGGCATCAATCCATAGCGCATTATTTTAGAAGACATGGTCTTTGTCTATACAGTATATTCAATGGCAACCTGTAGCCTAACGCTAATGTTCTGGGTTGACAGCAAAGCTTTTTCCTGGCACACCTCCAATACCAGTTGAAATTGGTATAATCTCAGATTGTAGATGCATGAACTTTGATATTTACTGTTGCAAGAGTTACCAGCAACTGTTTCATAAAAGATCTAATATTGGTCTGTTCAAATATGTTGGGAACAAAATCTACAATTTCCACAAGGTGTACTGTTTCTCATGACTGATATCATTTTTCCATTCTGACGCAAAAGAAAACCCATACCTATTTCTTTAGCTACAGTATAAGCCTCTTCTGGCGTTGTTGCAACAAAGCCTTTGGGTATGGCGATACCAGCATCTTTAAGAAGACCCATGCTAAGATACTCGTGCAGTGATAATTTCCTCTGCTGTTGAGCTTGTAACCCATGACCACCAAAGAGACCTGGGAATCCACCGAGAACCTGCAAGAAAAGTAAGATATTACTACATCAGTAACAACCAATCCAGTATTGCAACTCAAGTTATCTTTTAGTTTCCAGATATACCAATAAACCCAAAAAAACAGTAATAAAAAGTTTTCATTAAAGCCCAATCACCTATAGCAAATACAAATGTTTCATTGTCCTCTCTGCTTCAAGTTAAAGCAGAACTAAACCTACTAATTTAACCACTTCCTAAAAACAGTGACATTCTAGGCATGCCTCCGGTGATGACGGTCACAGTTGCCAGTGTGGTTATGCTCTCAACCAAACCATGAAATTACTGGTGCCATAGCTGATCACATTTGCAGTAGAGCTGCAAAAACTAATCGATTAAATCTACTATAATTGATCATGAGAATCGTTGTCAAAGATTCACATGATCAATTAGTTGATTTCCGATTAGCTGAATCCGCAGCCATCGCCATTCTAAACTATCCAATAGCAGGCTAGCTATTGCTCCCAGCCACTGCCTGCTGTGTTGACATTCAGCTGCCAACTGTCATTCCCCAGTGAAGTGGAAAGGTGGTGCTAGGGGTCTATATGTTCCCTAATCTCACCTCAAAAGAGAACCTGTTACCTCTAATGTACCATCACATGGGGGCTTGTTAGAACACCCCCCAAATGTGATAGCAAAAAAAAAGTGAACAAAGTTAAGTTAAATAGAAAAAAAGACAATTGCACTATACATGTCAGGTTTCGCCACGTGCGCTAGAGTGAGAGCAATCATTCTCGGGCCAATATTCATGGCTAACTCTAAACTGATGACCGAGCTTTTATAATATATTATATATATTTTTGGTTTCAGACTGAAAATTCTGCTCTGGAATGTGTCTTGTGGTGCCATTAATTTCAATGGCATCCCAAACATGCCTCCCGACCACAGTGTGATCGCCTGCACTGGAACACGCAGTACTGCAATGCCGTGCATTCCAGTGCAGAGCGAGTGCAAAAAATTGCACACCGTTTTTTTCTGCAGTAAACTTTAGGTTTGTAACACTCCATTTGTGTATTTTATTTTAAATAAAACATGTTTGCTTTTTATCTGATTAATCGAAAAAAATTAATTGGACAACTAATCGATTATAAAAATAATTGCTAGTTGCAGCACTAATATGAAGCACTATGGTAACTGCAGATTTAAACAGAGGCTAAGATGGCTCCATTCTCAGATGTAAAGGATAGGATGGTTTAGTTCTGCCATAATAAAAAGGAGAAATCTGTTTGTTTTTTATTACATTTTGCATTGCCAATATCTTTTTTACACTTTTTAATCTTTGAAAGTTTGCTAGTGACTGGTGGGTTATATTATTGCTCATTGATCTGCTGTGATACCTCACATACACACAGGATACCTTTGATTCTTTTGAGTCCTCCTGGAAGTTTAAAACAACCTTTTTAGAAACTTTTTACCCAGGAGAAACCCATCAAATAATCTTCAGCTCTCATGGATGCTCTGCTAAAAATTATTATACCTACAGTTCATGTTACACTAGCATGCTCAGTTAGTTATAAGAAGTTTTTCAGTAATAAATAATTGGGGGGAAACAAAAAACATTAATTTGACACCTAACATACCCCTGATGTCTCCATAAAGAGAACCTGTCACCTCCAAATGCTATCACATAAGGGTTTGTTAGCCTCTGTGTGATAGCAATAAAGTCAAGTAGAAAAAAAATGAATAACTAAAAATAAAAAAATTAAAACCAACCCCGCTGCCTCCACCATCTGCATGCAAATTAAAACACGCACGTAGGGCATGTACGTAAACGACGACTGCACCACACGTTTGGTATCACCGTGTATGTCGGGGTGAGAAATAATTCTATGGCCATAATTCGCTGTTAAATTTAAACTGATGACTAGTAAAAGCTTTTTAAAGCATCGCCTATGGACAATTTTGAGTACCATATTTTTTTGCCATTGCACAAGCGAGCGCAATTTTAACGTTTGACATATCTGGCATCTATTTAATCGTTATAACCCCATCTTTATGTTACCAAAAAAAGGGTATTAAATTGTGTTTATGTGCACTAAAATTAATTTCAGTGGTTTTTCTGCTAAAAAATATTGTTTTTATAAACATTTGTGCAAATATTGCGCAACATTTTTTAAAAAAATGCAGCTACCATTTCTTTATTCTACAGGGTTTCTGCTTTCAAAAAATATATATACTTGTTTAAAAGTAATTTTCTATTTTTAAAAATGCTGATTGTAGTATGTGTGCGCAAACAATACTAAGACTAATACTAAACATGAAAATTAATAATGGTCAAAAAAGAAAGCCAGAGTTTTAAAAAGTCTGAAAACATCCTTTTATGCTAGCAATTGATGCGCAAGTGCCCACTGTCTGTGGCCGTCAGTGGAGAAGTGCCCCCCTTACACAGTCAGTGAAGTATCCTTTTAAACTCAGCATACAGCAATCTCCTAAAGAGCTAACAAATACCTTTGGAAAAAAGAAAAAAAAAAGGATTTAACTTAACGATGTAGTATGAGGGCCTACCCAAATTACCCACTTATTTGAATCAGACAGTCCCCTACAATACATAGTTGTTGGAAGATCTAGAGCAGTGATTCTCAACCTGTGTAACCTTGGGACCCACATTTGTCCTTGGTCATTAAGTTACGACCCAAGTCGCACTGCACTGGAACGCACAGTATTGGGGTACCGCGTATTCCGGTTCGGGTGATTGAACTGTGGCCGGGAGGTGCGTTTGTGGTGCCTATCAAATGAATGGCAACGCAATGCATCTCCCACACCAGAACTCATAGTAGGTGCAATTGCATGGTACAATGCATTAATCGCACAGGACTGTTCACTGCACTGCACATTGTACTAGTGTGAACAGGCCCTCAAAAACACTGACAAGACACACACAGACAGCCTCACACACACAATCCAAAAAATATTTCATTTTTTCTTTACGATCCAGCCAGTCTCCCTACCTTACGAGAACTGGAGTGGATCCTCAGCTTGGGGTCCAGTGTGGGCTGCTGTGCTGTGATGGAGCTCCATCAACATGTGCCTTGCTTGTACAACTCCCTTGTGTGCCCTGTACAGGTCCCGGGAGCCAAAATGTGACATAATTCAAGTCCAGGCACCTCTATAGGACATGCAAGGGAGCTGTACGCAATGCATGTATGGATGGAGCTCCCACGTGGCAATAGCCCCAGACCACCTGACCCCACCTCAAGCTGACACTCAGCGCTGGGCAGCATATTTTAAATAGCTACATGGCACGAGAACTGACAGTGCTGCACTAGAGGGCGGCTGAGGAGCCTCTTACCTAGAAAAGTGGAAAGCACGTGGCGACCCACTGAACATGGGGGTCGCGACCCACCAGTTGAGAAACAAGGATCTAGAGTACAGTCAGATTGTGACATGTGTTATGAGCTGTACATTGGCAGTCAGTGGAGACGTGTCCTCTTATATCGGTGGTGAATGTAGAAGTGGCCCCTTCCATAGAATATAAGTAGAAAATGAGTGGTCATATTAGACAGATCATCAGTCCATCAATCACTCACTACAGAAGGAACCCCTAGCAACCTCTGGAGGAACTTGAGATCCCCAAGAAACCCTAGTTAAGAAAGCACGGTTCAGAGTTTAGTTTGATATTTTTCCACTAAACGTTACTTGGCATGAATTCAGCGTTTCTCTATTAATTATTGGTAACATTTAAAAGAAAAAAATTGTTTAATGCGTTTAATGATAAATGATTTACAGAATGCTAACTACATGGTTAGTGGGAAATGACAAACGTGTCCAAGTCTGCCTTATTCATAAAGGAATTCTAAAACAACCAACAATCCTAACCTAATAAAGAAAACAGAATTTCTACAAATGGAAAGATGCACTGAGAGAGTCAAGGACAAAAAGTAAGCCAAGGTTTTACAGCCTGAGGAACGCATAGGTAACATGGAGGACAGGGAATGCCGTCACATTACACAAAATGCTATAGAAATTCTTTAGAGATCAGGCAGTCAAAAGGGTAGACAAGGACACATAATAATGTTCTCTTCAACCCAATTCATGTAAAAGATCACAGGACAGAAAAGTACTCCATGTAACAAACTGCCAATTTGATGACAGACATACTTCAGTGCTGGACCGCACTTTACTGAGCAACAGCAGGATGATGGCAGGATCAAAAACAAGGGTTACGGGACATTTGTGCAGAAATAAATATAAAAGTGACTGTGAGGACAGAAATATGAGAGATGCCATTGGGGAGCTCGCTTTTGAGAATGACAGACTGGTCTTCAAACAGTTCCCTACTCTTCCTAACTTTTATTGGAAAATTAAAAGAGAACTATGGGGTAAGTGTTTTTTCCCCATAGTTCTCTTTAGGGTCACGGGAGGACATATACCAACCTCCTCCCATGACCCAAAGCTCAGTATATCGCGAGCTACAGCTCACGGTATACTGAGACCGCCGCAGCCGGGACAGATCCCGACAATACTGTCTTCGTCCACCTAGCCTAGCTGCGTGAGTGACATGCCCGCCCTCTCCCCTGTTGGTTCCTCCAATCAGCGCTGGAGGATCGTAGAGGGGGGGGAATCCCTGTGGGGAGCAGTGACTGACAGTCACCACTTACTGCAGGGAGACGATCGTGAAGTATGCGGATCGGTGCACGTTTCTGCTCTCTTCCCGATCAATAGAGCCGACCTGTTACAGTCTCATTGTCACACATCGGCTCTAACTATGAGGATGAGTGGAAATCACTCACCTCATAGTTCTCCTTTAAGTTTTAGGACCCATTTACACATCTACAATCCAATGCAATATGTGGTAGAATTCAATGTGTTAAGGCAGCCTATTCATCATTAAGGGGCTGCCAAAATACTCAAATGGTCAAATTAACCAGACGAGCACTATGTGGGGGGGAGGGATGGGGGGATTCAAAAGTAGCTTTGCGCTACTTTTCTGGCAGTATGAAACTTTAAGGTCCTGCTCCAAATTGGTAGCTTTATCAACACCTAA